GAGCTCAGGTAGCCGGCTCAAGGCTGACTCAGCCTTCCATCCTTCCCAGGTTGACAAATTGAGTACCCAGCTCACTTGGGGGGGGGGGAATGTGTAGTCTGTGTGATTAAATTGTAAACTATCCAGAGAGTGCTTTAAGAATGATCGGGCAGTCAACTTTGCTTTGGTTCAGCTTTACTGGGAATGATTAAGGGATGGTATCCCTGTTTGTTATATTACTCTGGGGTTAAGGTCATGCTTCAGTCCTGACAGAGACACTGGTAGGATTGAACCTGTTAGGCAAAAGGTAAAGGTTCCCCTTGACAATTTGTCCAGTCATGTCCGAATCTAGGGGGCGGTGCTTATCTTTGTTTCCAACCCATAGAGCCAGTGTTTGTCCGAAGACAATCTTCCGTGGTCACGTGGCCAGCGCAACTAGACATGGACTGCCGTTACCTCTCCACCGTGGTGGTACCTATTTATCTACAGTCGGGTCTTGACTTAAGAACGGCTTGAGTTAAGAACATTTTGACTTAAGAACCACTCTCATAGGAAAATATTGACTTGACTTACATACTTAGATTTGAGTTAAGAACTGAAAAAAACCACGTGGGAGGCAGGGAAAGTGCAAAATGTGAACTTTCAGTTAACTGTTGACCAGTGAAAAGGCTGCCTGTCTGCTTCCTCACTCCTCCCAGCGTTTAGAGAGTGGATTGGGAGATAGTCTTCAGACTGCCTGGTACTGTACTGCCTGGACTGTATTTTCCCTGCCTTCCCTGAACCTTTCTTGACCTAGGAAAAAAAGGAACAAAATATCCCCCTCTAGTGGTCGAAGGTGGAATAGCAGCTTCCCATTAGTTTCTATGGACGGAAAAGAGCAGATACGGATCAAATGGTTTTCAATGGATTCCTATGGGAAATGCAGATTTGACCTGAGAACTTTTTGACTTGAGAACCACCTTCCAATACGGATTAAGTTCTCAAGTCAAGACCCCACTGTACTTGCATTTGCATGCTTTCGAACTGCTAGGTTGGCAGGAGCTGGGACAAGCGACGGGAGCTCACTCCATTGCCTGGATTCGATCTTATGACTGCTGGTCTTCTTACCTTGCAGCACAGAGGCTTCTGTGTTTTAACCCGCAGCGCCACCACGTCCCTCAGTTGAACCTGTTACATAAGTCTTATGAGACTGGTCCCTTGTTATTCTGCACCTGGCCAATTTCAGAGCTACTGTTTAAATAGGTATTATGCCTGCTGAGTATATACTTACAGTTTTAATTAGCACTGAAATGATGTGCTTCCAAGTCATGCAACTTGGTAACACTGCAGATATGTCCTTGTGGAGTGTGTGTGTGAAGTAACGCACTTGGTCCCACTTCCTGACACAGCAGGGGCTCACCATTATGTCCCTGCCATCACACTGCTCACCAGAATGCTTGGTATTTCTTTAACATTTTTACGAAAGGAAGAAATTGTATATTAAGAATAAATTGAAACATAATGGGACAGCTTTCTGGCCTTGGTGAAATAAATATTTTGCATAGTTGTGCACAAAACAGAATAGATGGTAATTTGATATAGAAATTATTATTCAAAGCACTGGTGTGCGTTCACTCAAAGAACATACTTAAATGATTGTTTTTCTTCCTTTGGCCAAATTTAAACTGACTGTAGAATGTAGCCAAATAATTCTTTATTTCTTTATTTCCATTTTCAGGGCCTGCTGTCTTCCACCTCTCCACTGTCTCTGACCAATCTATTTCCCCCCTTTCCTATCCACACAGCTCCCCAGTAAGTTTAAATTTATTTCTTTATATACACCAATAACCTGGAGCAGGTGATGACCTTAGCAAGGACATGACTCACCAAGCATAGTACTATATACTGGGACAAGCAAACTATCGTGGATAAAACATTTGATTTTAATATGCCAAATATTAAACCTCTGGATAAACAACAAAGAAAAACATACTTTATAGAAGAAGCTGTTCTATCCCAAGCAACCTCAACAATCTAGAAAGCACAAAATTTGAAAAGGATCAAAGATTGAAGCAAGAAATTAAAGGAATATGGAAGCAAAAGATGGCAGCTGCAGCTTCCCTACCCTAAATGAAGCCGCAGCCGCCATCTTTACAAAGGTAGCCGGTCTTCCTTTTTACACACTGTGGCTGCAAAGGCCAGATGGAGATCTCAGTGCCGGTGGCATTTATGGTAAGGGGGTGTTGGGGGGGGTGAGGAGCTAAGGTAGGGAGAGGAAGGGGTGGGGGGTAGGCTGTGGAGGTGGCTGCCTGCCTATTGGCCCGCCAATCAGGTGATTGGCAGCCGGTAGGCTTAATTTTTTTTTTTAATTACGAAGGACAAATAAAATGGGGAAATATTCATCAAGCCATATTCGTCAGTTCTTAAAATTTGATAAATACAGCTCAATGAATATTTAACAAATTGGCTATTTTTGTAAAAAAAAAAAAGATTTGTTTTTATATTCGTCCCCATCTCTAATTACAGCATTGGGATATGGAAAATTTAGTCTTCCAGATGTTTTCAAAAGGATGTCCGGTGTTTCTGGGACCACAACCACACATGGGATGCGAATTCATGCTGGAAAGACAACATGCATAAAAGTTGTCAAACACGATTCTTGAATAAGTGCGTAGACAATAAAGGAAACTTGTAATGCAGCAGCTTGACAACAACTTTTTCTTGATTCTCCAGAAAATATAAGTCATAACAATTCTGGAGAGTGTGAAAGCGCTCATAATAACCTGGACATTTTTACTTTTAAAACTCTTATTTTTTTGAATGCAGTGTGCTATGCCTGACCCACGCAAATCCGAGAAGCAGAGGCACTCATCAGAGTGGGAAAGCCTGTCTTGACGTGGTGACAGATGACATCAATTTTTGTGAGACTGATGGGTAGGGCAGATTTTTCCTTTTTCCTGGAAGAAGCAGATGTGGTGATGGTTACACGTGCCTTAATCACATCCAGACTAGTTTGCTGTACAACAGTCTATAACCAAACAAATGACCCGTGCAGACTGTCGAAATATGAGTTCTTAACAGTACCTATATATTCTTGCAACACGATATCAGTTTACATATTAAATCATTACAGAGTCCACTCAGGTCCAACAATTGAGTTCATCGGGAAGCTGAGAGATCTTGCTTAAATATGTGTAGTTCATGCTAGATAGAAGACCAGATCAGGAATTTAAGTTCCATAAATGTCTTCATGGCAGAATTTCTTTGGGAAGCAGCTTCAGTTCTTTTGTTGATACTTTAACAGGTCTCAGCTAACTTGGCTGCTCTCATGAAAGCCCAATTTTAACCAAGCCGTATGGTTGTGAACAATGTGGTAAGACTCAAGAGCTCCAGCTTTCAGAAAGAAAGTGAAACCAGACTTTCCTGAGAGCGGCTGGGTTAGCTGGGACCTAAAGTATCAACAAAAGAACTGAAGCTGCTTCCCAAGGAAATTCTGCCATGAAGTCAGACCACTACAGGATCTGTTTGCTTGGTTATTGGGGTGAGCATTGTGTTTTGTCATGTTTTGGTATCTATACCGTTTTCTGACCATACTGCCTCCATCTTGCTTAGATTGCACTGGCCTCAGGTCTGTTGCCAGGTTCTGACTAGCAATCCTGATCCAGACTGGGGCCAGTGTATCTGAAGGACTGGGGCCTCAAGTATGAAGCCGGCTGTCATGTTACAGTCATTTTTGGAGGCCCTGCTTTGCATTCTGTCACCAAGGCAGATGCTGTTTGTAGAGATATGAGACAGGGCCTTTGTAGCAGTAGTGTTATAGCAGTGGAAGACTAGATTAGTCCCCTTTTTTGTTGTCTTATGAACTAAATATTTGTTTTGTTTAATTAAGCATTGAATGTGGGTTTTTTGTTATGATATTGTTTATTATGTTGAATTTTGAACGCTAATTTTAAATTGTGTTGCTGTTTTATTTTTACCTATGAAGCTGAGATCTTTTCTAGGGCAATATGTTCTTTTTAATGAATAAAATTGAAGTAGTGATTCCACCACCATATACTGTATTTATTTATACATATTTACCTCGCTTTTCTATACAAATTAGTCAAACATGCATACACATGAGGATAAGTAAAAGGGAAAAAAACCTAGCGGGGAAGAAATAGCCACACCTTAAGTTGGAATGAATGGATCACAAAAATGACAGATGTCATCAGTTATGAGCACTTATGCTGAGTCTTCTAATGTAAAAAGTAGGCTTGATGAGTGTGAAACAGATGGTGAGAGGGGTACCCCACTCGCTGGAGAGCCGTTCCCTCCTCAACAGCAAAACAAAGGAAGAAAACCCCAGGCCGGCACCAGAGTTGACAGAGAAATCCCAGCAGGAGGCGAGGATAGAAAAACTGTCAGAGGACATGCAGAGAGTAAAGGTGGAGGAGGTTCAGCGAGAAAAGGCGGGAGAAGAGATAAAAAAGAGGGTGGAATTTGAAGCGGAAACGGGAGGAAGAGAGAAAAAGGGATCAGTTACCGCCAGGTTGGGAGTGGGTGTGAATGCAAGATCTACGGACTGGGCTATGGGAAAGATTAAGGGTTCCCTAGGGAATAGTCTGATTATAGAAGGAAATCAGAAATTCCACCTAGACCCTTGTATTGGGGAGAGGCAGAGGTGAGAAAGTGTAGACTGAGAGAGGAGAAAGAACGTGTAGAGAGAGAAAAGAGAGAAAGGTTGGAATGGAGAGTAAGGGAGATGAAGAGACAGAGTTACAGGGAGGATCTTGGGAGAGACGAGACACTGATGGAAGGACCCAGTGGGATGACGGCGTGGACGAGGAGACCGTGTCCCTGCTGGATAACACGATGGGGCAGACCATTTTAAAGGGACCTTGGAACAATAGTTTTGGAAACCCTTTCCTGTTTGAAGAATGAAAGACTGGGTCCCTCCCATTTTAAAAGGACCTTGGAACAATAGTTTTTGGAAACCCTTTCCTGTTTGAAGAATGGAAACCCCTTCTGGATCCACTGGCAGAATGAGACAGAAATCATAATCATGTTGAGGACACTTGTTTATTGTTAAGTACCAATAAATCTTTCACCTGTTTCCAAGCAACAGAAAATGTCTGATTTCCTTGAGTCAAAGATGGAGCCAAAGGCTGAACCCTCACAATAAAATGTGCAATGGGGTGGGGGCTGTGTGGCACTCAGATGTTCTTGGATAACAACTCACATGATTCTTCAGCATTGGCTATGCTGATAGGAGCTGCAGTCCAAAAACCTCTGGATGGGCATGGTTTTCCCACCCTGATGTGGAAAGTATTCAGTTGCATTGCCTCTATGAATTATTACTTATTGATTGGGTCAATAAAGAAAGCCACAACGTTTCGTTTGCAAGAGACGAACAGGGCTGTAAAAGATAGTATTTTCTAGGAGTAATTACTGTATAGGGTTGCAATAATGAGGAAGCAACTTCATGGTACGAAACAATAACACTCTCATTTTGGGTTAAGGCTCATGATGGGAATGGTAGGTCAATTTGATACCTTCAGCAAAGGTACAATTATTTAGCATGCTCTTTTCTGTGGACCGTATTCTACTTTGCCCTGATCTTTCTGGTGCTGATTTAACTGCAGCTGCAAGTGTTAACAACCATATTTGGAATTTCTGCCTTGGCAATGTTGTAGTCCTGAGTAAAATATAGTAAGCTGAGGTGCTGGTATTCTGTAGGGACACAACAAGAGTGCTCTGGACTATAGGTATCCATATGGGTGATGAAGTCATGAAAGTTTGAGAAGGTAGCAGCTGGACTAACAGGAATCCCATTAACCGCCTTCACACACGTGCCAGTGCAGTAGTAGTGATAATACCCTGGAGGAGCGATGATCCAGTCATGCCAGCCAATCTTCTGGAAATCAACATAGAAGCTTCGTCTGCAGCACATGGATATATCATTGCAGAGAAGGTCCCGACGGTGCTGGTGATGCACGTCAAGGATTTGACCTTTGGCCACTATGAATGGTTGGTGAGAGTCTGTGTTGCGTAACAAGACGTGAGGTTCCTTCTGGCTTTCAACCTCTAGGTCTACTATGAGCTCATGACAGCCTTGGCTGAAACAAGTCTGGATCGCTGGCCCAATCTCAAGCATAGACCATCTGCCTTCCTTCAGCTCCAGGTCTGTTTCACCAAGTGTCATATTTGAATTATGAGGATTTTGGAGGAGGAGTTTTACTGTCACCCTTTGATTAAGTTGACCAATGACTGGGCAGAAAATGTACAAGGTAGCTTTTAGCATTTCAGTGCTTCTTTCTTGTTCCTGTCTGAAGTCAAAGTGTAGGCGTCTTCTGCTGAGTGTTGAGAGACCTGTTTGAGGGGAGAAAGAGCCAACACTTGTTGAGAAATACTGTTCAAGGCCCTTCCTTACACTCAGTGGGCAGAATCCTGTTTCACAAGATGCGCTGTGTAACTTGCATTATGTCATCAGCCATAATTGTTTCAGGGGCATTAAAAGCTTCCTCGTCCTCCCCTACAGGTTCTGGGGTTCCCCTTCAAGCTGGGAAAATTATTTGGGTGTCACAGAACGTGTGACTAAACTGTTTAATGCCCCAAAATAGCTACTGCTGGTTTGAGTAGTTCCCTTCTCTCTCCCATTTCAAGGTTCTCAAGGGCTTCCCCAGGTTGATGAAGGTGTCCCCCCCCCCCAAAAAAAAACCTAGAAGGGTGAAGAGGAAGCTTTTAATGCCCCCCACCATGGCTGCAGCACAGCCACAGCTAACATCACAAAAGTTACACCATGTCACTTGCAAAACAGGATTCCAGCTGTTACCCACTTTATCTTCAGGGTGCTTCCAAATCAGGTGTGTGTGTATCTCCTAACAATAAAAGTCTTATTTTTATTATAGCTGTTCTCCCTCTCCTCTTTTTCAGGGAGGAAAAGTACAGAAGCAGCAGAGAGGACTACCCATTAAAGATGATGTTATTTGAACCCTGTGCATGAGAGGCAGGGTAATTGTACAGTAAAAGCCTGTCTGGAAGCAGTCTTGGTATATTGATGGGCCACTAACAAGGAATGCAAATGAACTGACCTTCCAGACAACAGGTCACTGTGGATGGTCAGCTCAGATACCCACCCCACCCTCAGGCAAGAAGTGGCTGTGAATATGCTTTGCAAAGCAGGAGTAGAGGGGACGGGTCAAGAAGAGTCTTTGTGGGTTGTGTCTGTGCCTTCTCCCATTCTGCCTACCCTTGGCCAAAAATGCCACCCATTCACACATACAGGATCTCAATGGACCTGCAAGCAGGATGTACTTGGTAGTACTCACCATTTGAGTTCCTTTCTTAAAATGTAGATTGGGCTCTTCTTTATACAGAGTTCATCCTAAGGTATTTTCCTCTGGAGAGTTGCAGGAATAGGCGTTTGTCAATCTTGAATGCATGTATCTGAATTATTAATTTATGTTTGAACTTAACCACTAAATAATTTGTCTTTTTGACTAATTTAGTGAGTTTATTTGTTTTGTTTTGAATTTTTTTTCCCATGGAAGCTTTTTAAAAAATGCTTGGGCTTCAGCTACGTAAGTACTATATATGCACACAAACAAAAAATAAAGCATCTTTTCATTGGGCTAGAAAAAAAGAGAGTTAATGCCTGTGTTGTTTTGGACCTGATGCTGCTTTAGCACTAGCCGTGTCTCTATGACTGTGTACTGGCTGCCTGCTCAACCTATATTTCTGTAAGCAAGCAGATATTACAAAATGTCATTAGTCTCCTCTCCAATATCCTTGACTTTTGCAGGAGCATAATTCCGCTGAGTTGCTCTAGTACAGTATATCATACAGTTGATGAAACAGAGACTAAAACAACAATGAGCATAATTATCGAGCAATAATGAACTGCTGGATAGCTCAGTGGTTTAGGTATCTGGCTGAAGAGCCAGAGGTTGGGAATTCAATTCTGTACTGTGCTTCCTTGATAAGAGCTGGACTCAGTCGTACAAGGGATTCTTTTCCAGCTCTACAGTTCTAAGATAATGATGCTGATTCACAAGGAAACTTTGGACCATTTTGATATTGGCAGGCAGCCCATTAAAGGTCAAAGTCTGTTTGTTGGTGGTTTGGTGATGGTCTTAAATTGCATTTGTATGACTGGTTGAACTTCAGTTGCTGCTCATCTAGGATCAGATCCTCTTTTTATGACAGCAGGGAATTACCTCATGCTATAAAAAGGTGTTACACGTTGTGGTCGAAATTCACATTCCAGCATGGCAAACATGGTCGTTCGTTTTTGCCAAGGAAGCCAAATATCATACCCAGAATGGTAAGCTGACCTTGATTTTGTTATCACTTTTTAATGTTTCAATATTATGTTTGCTTGTTTTATTTATATGCCGCTTTTCTCTCGATAAGAGGATCCAAGGCAGTTCAAAATATTAAAAAGAAAATACTTAAAAACATAATAAATCAAACATTAAAAACAAACTATATGCTAAAGTACAATTGAATAATTAAAAGCAAGTGAATATTAAAAACTATCTGACTCTAAGAAGACCTTCAGGAATTCAGTCATGACTTTTAAAAGCCTGCCTGAAGAGATGGGTCTTTACTTGTTGGTGGAGGGATAAAAGGGGGGGGCCAGCCTGATCTCCCATGGGAGAGTGTTCTATAACCTGGGAGCTGCCACAGAGAAGGCTCTCTCCATCAACCATGCCTGTGCTGGCAATAGGACTGATGGGCGGGCCTCCTCTGATGATCTTAAATGCCGAGAAGGCTCATATGGGGAGATGCAGTCTAGATAGCCTGGACCCAAGCTGTAATAGGGCTTTATAGGCAATGACCAGAACTTTGAACTGGGTCCAGAAACAGACTAGAAGGCAGTGCAGTTGTTGTAACAGCGGTGTTATGTGCTTCCTAAAACTGGCCCCAGTCAGTAGCCTGGCTATTGAGTTTTGCACCAGCTGAAGTTTCTGAACTGTTTTCAGAGGCAGCCCCACATAGTGTGTGTCAGAGTAATCCAGGTGGGTGCACCAGTTTTAGCTGTGCAAAGGCATTCCTGGCCACTACTGAAACCTAGGTTTGGAGTCTCAGGGATAACTCCAGGAGTACAACGAAGCTGAGAACCTGAGTTTTCAGGGGGGTGTAACATCATCCAGCACAGGTTATATCCCTATTCCCTCATCTGCCTTCCAATTGATCAGGAGCATCCCTGTCTCGTCTGGATTAAGTTTCAGTTTGTTTGCTCATATCCAGCCGATTGCTGGTGCCAGGCACTGGTTTGGAACCAAGACAGCTTCCTTGGAATTAGATAGAAAGGAGAGACAGAGTTGGGTGTCATCTGCGTACTAGTGACACTGAACCCCAAAATTCCAGACAACCAATCTGACTGGTTTAATGTAGAACGTAAATAGCAAAGGGGACAAAACAGAACCTTGAGGGACCCCAGAGACCAGCAGCCAGGATGTTAAACAGGAGTCCCTCAGCACCACCTTCTGAGTCTCCCCTCCAAGAAGAACTGGAGTGAGTGCCTGTGAAAGAGTGCCTCCAAATCCCATCCCAGAGGAACAGTCCAGAAGAGACTATGTTTATGATATCAAAAGCCACTGAAAGGTCCAACAGAATCAACTGGGACACATTTTCCCTGTCCAGTTCCTGGTATATGTCATCCACCAAGTGACCAAAGAAGTCTCTGTCCCATAATGATGCCTGAAGCCAGACTGAAATGGGTCTAGATCAGTGATGGTGAACCTATGGCATATGTGCCAAAGCTGGCATGCAGAGCCCTTTCTGCCAGCACGCGAGCCATGTCGCCAGATTGCTACTCCCCCCTCCCCCTCTGCAGCCAAACCTGAGCAGGTGGCTGCAACTGCGGTGCTGGTGCCCGGAATGGCGGCTGGTCAAGATCTGGAGCAACTGGTGCTGGCGGCAGATCCAGAGTGGGGGCTCGAGGCACCTCTGTGCCTGGGATTCCCCCTTCTGCTGCCACTTCCAGTTCAGCAACCACCCCCCTTTTTTTCTTCAGTTTGGGCACACGAGCCCAAAAAGGTTCGCCACCACTGGTCTAGATAATCTGTCTCTTCTAGGAACCCCTGGAGCTGAGAAGCCACAATCTGCTCTAGGCCCTTGCCCAAGAATAGAACATTAGACATTAGCTGGTAATTATCCAATACTTTGGGATCCATAGGGAACTTTTGATCAATGGTTTTACTACTGCAATGGTTTTACAGTCATGCCCCACTTTATGATTACCCCGTTTAACGACGAATCCGCTTGACGGTGAAGTTTTTGTAATCGCAAAACAATGGTTTGGAAGGGGTTTTTTTGCTTTGTGATTTTTGCTTTACGATGATCAAAAACAGTTGATCGTCGGGTTTCAAAATGGCCGCCGGCTGAAGAAAATGGCCCCCTGCTGTGCTTAGGGACGGATTCCTCACTGCACAGGTTTCCATGCATTTCAATGGGCTTTTTTATTTTGCTTTATGACGTTTTTGCTCTACAGCAATTTCGCTGGAATGAATTAACGTCGTCAAGCGAGGCACCACTGTACTAAGCATGCTAGGACCCTACTCTGTCACAAGGAGGCATTCACTATTTCTCCTACCCACTCAGCCAGTCCCTCTCTGGCAACTTTTATAAACTGAGAATGATAAGGGTCCAATAAACATGTAGCCTTCAGCTTTCCAAAGGTTCTATCCACATCATCAGGCTGAAAAAACTGAAAAGTATCCAATAGCACAGGAAAAACAGGGGCTATAGTTACATTCGCAGGACCTGTATCAACTACAGCAGTGGTCCCCAATCTTGGGCCAGCAAATGTTCTTGGACTTCAGTTCCCAGAAATCCTGGCCGGCAGGGATGGTGGTGAAGGCTTCTGGGAGTTATAGTCCAAGAACATCTGGAGGTCCAAGGTTGGGGACCACTGAACTACAGCATGCACACCAGAGTGGATTTGGTGCAATTTTGCCTTCAAAATGTGCAAATTCTTCACAGCAATCTATAGTGTGGTCTGCATCCTTGTCTTGTGGGCAGCCTATAACAGGCCCTTGACCACACGAAAGAGCTGCTGGGCAACTCTGTGCAGATGCAATTGTGGCAGGGAAGAATTACTTCTTTGTTGCCACAGATTAGGCCTTCCAATGGGCCCTTGTCCGTACAATATTTGGTCAGATTCACTCAGTTTTCCACCATTGCTGCTTTAGTCTCTGTCCCACTTGTTTCATCACAACCAGTTCCCTGAGGCCAGTCTGACTCTACTTTGTGGGATGGGATGTTTGGGAGTCATTGCGTCAATGGCCTTGGCCATTTCCCCATTCCAGAGATCAACCAGGGTTTCAACAGAATTGCCTGTCAAGGTGACAGGAAACTCCCCAAGAGCCATCAGAAAAACATTTTGGATCTTTCAGACTCCTGGGGCAGACCATCTTAATCTGTCCCCCACCCCTGCAAAGGCTCTGACCTCCAGTGAATTTAATCCTCACCAGATAATAATCTGTCCATGACAAAGGAACAACAGAGAGAGGAGTTCTACACCAAGGTCACCAACATCTACCCAGTACAGAAAAACAGGTATCAAGTGTGTCCTGCAGCATGGGTAGGGGCATATACTATTTGGGACAGACCCATAGTCATCATGGAGTACATTAATTACTAAGCCACTCCTGACAAAGCTGCCTCGGCATGGACACTGAAGTCCCCCAGCACAACAAGCTGAGGTAGTTCCAACACTACCTCCAAGACAGCTTTGCAAACTCAGGAAGGCAGACAGTTGAGCAGCAGGATTGGCAGTACACCAAAAGAATTCCTATTCTGCCCTGGATTTCCATTTTCAGATGCATACATTAAAACCTGGAAAACTGGGGGATGTGACACCTGGTGAAGGGCATGGAATCACAATAATCCATTGCAGCTCCATTGCCCACTGCCTGCTATTGCACAGAAAACCCCGGTGGACAAAGCTGAGCAAGATAAACATCCCCAGCCACATCCAACCACGTTTCTGTGATGCAAGCCACGTCAGCATGCTCATACAGGATCAAGTCCTGGATGGCTGTTGTTTTCCCATTTACCAATCTGGCATTTAGCAGCAGCCCTTTCAACCCAGGGGGCCTGTCACCAAGGCTGTCCAAGCTATTTAAATTTGGAGACAGCTTAAGGGCAACCCATACCCTCTTGGCCTTCTCTGACGATACTGGTTGTCCCAATACCATGGATAAATTCAGCGAAATGGAATAGAAACTAAGCCAAATAAAACTAAACCAAACAAGGTCGCTTTGACTCATCTGTGATGTGTGTTTAACAGACGATTGACTAATTTTCTGTCCTAATTTTTTGTTCTCCTTGTGCCAGTTTGTTTGTCAGTGCAAATGGACAAAGTTCTGTAGGCTTTTAAAAAAGCTGAAAATATGGATTGTACCACACATTCCTTGCTCCCACTGTTGATTCTAGTCAAACAGGCTTTGGAAAACCATGCAGAAACCTCAAAACTCTGATTTTCAGGGGCTGATGGTGACTGCCATCACAGTGATCTTATTTAAGATTTTGGAAGTAGCTGTCTTGTCTACATTGGAATCATGGTATGTGTGAGCTTGTTCGGTACCAGTAAAGCCTCCCTCCAAGAAATCCTAATAAAAATTAGCTGTTATTTGTTACAAATAGCAAGAAGATCTATGAAATCAAAGGAAAATTTAAACCTAGATTAGGAATGCTAAAAGGCCAACAGGGAAAAACACTATCTGACCAGGATAAAATAAACATAAGGTGGAAATATACTGAATATACAATACAGTGGTGCCTCGCTTTACGATCGCTCCGTTTAACAACGAAATTGCATTACGATTAACTTTTTGCAATTGCTTTTGAGAATGCTTTATGATGTTTACTATGGGGGAATTTCGCTTTGCAATTATCGGTTCCCTGCTTCGGGAACCGATTCTTCGCAAAATGATGATTTTCCTCCAGCTGATCAGCAGTTTCAAAATGGCCACCAGGTAAACAAAATGGTCCCCCACTGTTTTCTGGGATGGATTCCTTGCTGCACAGGCAGCGAAAATGGTCACACTATGGAGGATCTTCGCTGGACGGAGAGTTTCCAGCCAATCGGAATGCATTAAACGGGTTTTAATGCATTACTATGGGCTTTTTAATTTCACTTTACGACGTTTTCGTTCTACAGCCATTTTGCTGGAACAAATTAACGTTGTGATGTGAGGCACCACTGTATATATTCAGTATACTGTATAGAAGAGATAAAAGGAAAACAGATTCCCTGGAAGAGGGAATCTTATGACAAAGAACCTGCAATGTTAGAAAGTGAAGTGAAAGCAATGTTAGAAAGTGAAGTGAAAGCTGCTTGAAAAGGAGTTGGAAGAAATAAGTCATCAGGAGTCGATGCTATGCCAGAATCTTTCAAGCTGCAGAGACTGGATCTGTCAAAATCCTAAAATGAATATGTCAGCAAATGTGGAAAACAAAACAAAAAATGGTGCACAATATATATTGCAATCCCCAAGAAAGATGTCAAGAAGTGTAGCAACTTTAGGACCATTGCTCTAATTTCCCCTGCAAGCTAAGTGATGCTCAAGGTGTTGCAACAAAAGTTTTTACCTTATATGGAGCAAGAAATACTTCATGTTCAAGCTGGATTCCAAAAAGGAAGAAATATTTGAGTTCATATTGCAGACATCTACTGGCTATTGGAATGCATTAAAGAATTTCAGAAGAAGATCACGAGAGTGCAAGGCTCACTAGAAAAGACAGTAATGCTAGGAAATGTTGAAGGCAACAGGAAATGAGGAAGACCAAACATGAGATCCATTAACTCCATAAAGGAAGGCACAGCCTTGAGGACAGGACATTTGGAGATCATTCATTCATCGTGTCTGCATAAGTCTGGGACCTGATGGCACATAACAAGTGAAATGTTTTCCCTGCTGGTTGCCTAATGGCTGATCAGCTGGGTAACAGGTAAAACCCATCTGGACTTGCTAGGATTCAATGAGACCTTTGTGCAGTATGCATACTTTCCTGGAAGTAACTCATTCAAGGAATACCTAATGTGGTGTAATGGATAAGAGTGATAAAGTAGGATTCATGAGACATGGGTTTGAATCCCTGTTTGGCCATGGACAATTTCTGGTTGTGGCAAAACACTCTTTAAATACCTCACTAACTTTGAAAACCTTCAATATATTCGCGAAGGCTTTCACGGCCGGGATCTAATGGTTGTTCTGGGTTTTTCGGGCTCTTTGGCCGTGTTCTGTGAAGGTTGTTCTTCCTGACGTTTCGCCAGTCTCTGTGGCCGGCATCTTCAGAGTGCTCTTCAGTTACAGTACAGGTTGCTGTCCTCTGAAGATGCCAGCCACAGAGACTGGTGAAACATTAGGAAGAACAACCTTCAGAACACGGCCAAAGAGCCTGAAAAATCCAGAACAACCTTTTGAAAACCTTATTAATATGGTTATAACCTGGTTCCAGCTTCATAGCAAATAACACACATATACACGTTTCGCTAAATTCATGGGAAACTACAGTATTTCAGTATAATCATATACAAGATTGTAACATATTTTGGATGTTGCATACCCATGCAGAATTTTAAAAAACCCAATTGCGCTCTTTACTGTGTCCTCCTTAGGACTGGTCCTTGTAAAAGGCCATGAAACAGACCTTATTGATGCCCTGTTAGTAGAAGAGCCTTGCAGTCTAATTGTTTCACAGCAGGAGCGTCTCCCCCTTCCTGGAATTTGCAAATTAGCTTGCTTTGTTTTGATGGTTTTGTGTCTGCCAGAACTTAAGCATGGGATTCCTTTGAAGTCTGCTGTTTGAAACACAGCATGCCTGAATCCTATCTAACAGTAACATGCTTTCAGCTCCAGTGACATATCTATAACATCTTGCTTTTTCCCTTAGCCACCTACATCTCAAGCATATCTTCATTTTGAAGGAGGTAAGCATTTAATTATTTTTATCTCATGTTTTATCTGCCCTGTCTATCTGTTTTTTTTATTATACAATTGTTACCATTTTGGAATTTCACTGAATTTTTCTCATTGGCTTTCACTGATGTTAGCTTCATGGAATGGGGCATATGTTTTAGAAGAGTGGAGTATAATCTTTTCTAGAAATAAATGAATAATACAAACCTGGTTTTGCAAAGCTTAGCATCTCATATTCTTTTTCTTTCTTCCTGGATATCTGCCATTGTTCTTCCTGGCTGTTATATAGTTTCTTCAGAGCTACCTCCAAAGCAGCTCCTGAGACTGGATTGGTGATATTAGGCTTCTCTTTCAAATGAAGCTTGGAAAGGATGTTCTGCTTGACTAGCTCAATGTGAAACATCTTCCGCTTCTCCGGGTCTAGGGTTCCTGTCCTGCAAGTAAGGCAGCCAGCTCTAACACACATTAAAATTTTGAGGAGCGTAAAAAGCAACATAGCTGAATTTTGCTTATGGGCCATCTTTCTACAGACTGGCAAGACAATGACAAATGCTGGTGAAATATATCAAATGGGACTAATTTCCAAGAACAGCCCTTTGGTAGCTTATTAAACATTTATCTCTTCTTCTGGCTGTAAATACTTGCTTATCTGATTTCAGATAACACCCTTCACTGGCTGGTGATCACCAGTTAAGGTAGAATCACTGTGGAAGTTGCTGCTACCAAAGTCCTTAGTGAATTATGCAATGGGCTCACAAACTTTAAAATGGTCAATTTGAACAGGAAAGTTCACCAAACCAAATTATACCATATCCTTTGAACAAAGAAATGCACCTTCCTGCTGTTGACTCCTGTTCCTAATAGTTAATTTGCTTCATTTTGCAGGCTCATAAAATGAGATGTGGTCCTTGAGATATCTTGGGTCCAAGCCATTTAGGCCTTTACAGATTAGAACAAACACCTTGAATTCAGTCTGGAAACAGACTGGCATCCAGTGGAGTTGCTGTAACAGGGGTTATGTGATCCCTGTAACCAGCCCAATTCAGCAATCTGGCTGCTATGTTTTGGACCTCCTGAAGTTTCCAGAGACTTTCCATAGGCAGCCCCACACAGAGGGCATTACAGTAATCCAGCTAGGATGTAACTCAGGCATGTTTCACTGTGGCTAGATTAGACCTCTCTAGGAATGGCACAACTGGCACGCTAGTTTTAATTGTGCACAGGCACCTCTGGTCACCATCCAGGCTCAGAGACGAATCCAGGAATTTTCAAGGGGAGTGTAACTCCATCCAGCAGAGTCTGAATCCCTGTTTTTAAAAGAAGGTAATAGGCTTTTAGTCCTCGTCAGGCCCTTTTGAACCCTAAGTTTACAAACTAATAGGTTCTATTTGTGTAACAATCCACCTTTTCATGCATCTGATGAAGTGGGCTAATAAAAATTATTAGTCTTGCAACAAGACACTTTGTTGGTTGTTATGGGTTTTTCGGGCTCTTTGGCCGTGCTCTGAAGGTTGTTCTTCCTAAGGTTTCACCAGTCTCTGTGGCTGGCATCTTCAGAGGACAGGAGTCAGAACTCTGTCTGTGCTCTGGTGCAGTTTGTTTGGATAGTTGAGAATTTATAGCTGTGGGATCAGCGTTTGTTGTTTTCAGGAGATGGGTGATTGTGGTGATCAGCTTGTTTTTTGTTGTGGGTGTATTGTTGTGATAAGGGGGAGAGATGATCTGTCATTGTGATTGATGGGTGTTGTTAGCTGGTGTTTTGTGCGCAGTGATCACTAGTCCTTGTGGCTGGGTAGAGTTCTTTGACATTTTACATGCTGTATTTTTCAGTGCTGGGAGCCAGGCTTTGTTGAGTTTTAAACTTTCTTCTTTTTTGTTGGAACTCTGCTGGTGTTTGTGGATTTAAATGGCTTTTCTGTGCAGTCTAACATAATGATTGCTGGTGTTGTCCAGTACTTCTGTGTTTTGAAAAAGAATTTCATGTCCAGCTTGCTTTAGGGCATATTCAGCTACTGCTGATTTTTCTGGTTTAGTCTGCAGTGCCTCTCATATTCTTTGATTCTGGTGTGGATGCTACGCTTTGTGTTTCCAATATATACCTGGCCACAACTGCAAGGTATCCGGTATACTCTTACAGTGGTGAGGGGGTCCCTTTTGTCCTTTGCTGACCATAATATTTGTTGTATTTTTGTGATGGACTTGAATACTGTTTGTAGGTTGTGTGTTTTCAAAAGTTTCCCCATGCGGTCCATGACCCCTTTGATGTATTGCAGAAATACTTTATTTGTGGGTTGCTGTTTTTCCTCTTCAGTTTGGTGTTGTTTTCTTGGTTTGATGGCTCTTGTGATTTGATTTTTGGAGGAGCCATTTGCCTGTAGGGCCCAATTCAGATGCTTGAGTTCAGTGCTGAGAAACTGAGCTTCACAGTTCCGATTTGCACGGTCTACCAGTGTTTTGATTATGCCTGTTTTTTTCAAGGCACTTTGTTGTTTGCAGTGCTATGGACTAACAAGGCTACTCTCCTGAAACACTTGGTTTGAATAGCATTGTACCTGGAGAATGTGATTGTTTCTGTTCTTGTAGTAGAACTTCTGGTGGAAAGAGTTTTGAACTTTTCTGCTGCTGTATTTACCATTTTTTCCTGCTTTTAGTTTTTGAAAGAAGTACATAAAGAACAATACGTTATAATTATGTGGTTTCAGGTACTTTCGTGTGTATGATGTCCACCTTTAATGAATATACTGTTATAACAGCTGTATAATGATAATACAAAATTCCAGTATTCGAAATTCAGGTGTTGTTTGTTCTGACATTTTCTTTCTTGCAGCTATGGAGTTTGCAATCTGCAGCTGAAGATTGTGTGGGTAGTGGGAAGTGTCTTCTGGAACAAATTTCCTCCCTCATGTATGTTTATAAGAAAATGTCTTATCTACTAAAAATATCAAAGAACTACCCAGTGTAGCTGTCAGCACAGAATACAGTTCCTCCATTTAAGCGCAACTTAATGCTTAGACAAGTTGTCTTCTGCAGATCTGTCCATTTCGGTCCTGAAGGATCAGGCCTGGCACCACCATGACACTTGAGCTAGATAAACTATACCAGCAGCTGGGGCTGGTTCTTTTCTATTTATTTTTCCAAGATGTTTTATACTCAAGAGAGTAGTTGGCCGAACCATATACAGTACCTGTAATTGCCATGTTGTTATGTACTTTCAAGTCACAACAAACTCGAGCTTTTAAGATGAGTAAAATATTTAAAGAGTGGCTTTACCAGTTCCACTCCCCCAGTTAAATTTCCATGGCCAAGTGGGGATTTGAATTGAGGCCTCCTGAGTCCTGGCCCATCACTCTGTCCATTGACTAGCCATACTGGGTATCCATACACATAATTATAGAGGTTTGCTCTATTATTTCTGTTTCAAAAAAAGTTATCCATTTGTACAATGAAATAGTGTTCATTCTCAAGAGTATTTCTTCTGTCATCATAACTGACAAATAGTTTTTTTTAAATGTTTTGCTTAACATCTCAGGAATGGAGACACACTAGAAAAAAAAGGAGACTGGCAGTGATGTGTAGAGGAAAAACAAACACTACTTATGTGCTTCATGGCTCTGTTTAAATGCAACCCCCTCACACCATTTATCCCTAAAAATCCATGTGTAGTGTCTAAAATTGCCCTGCCCGATTAGAAGACTCAAAAGGGGGAGGGGAATTCCCTTCCTCCTCTTTTTAAACACAAGCTTCCCATGCGGGCACTGGGTGAAGAGGAAAACAGACTCCAGTCTTCCCTCAGACTACATTTTGAAGGGGCTTCTGAGGTGCCCCTCAAAAAAGGTCCCATCCGGCCATATTGAGAAAAAATCAGAAACACTAATTTATCTCCTTTAAAATTTTTTTTCTGAGAAACTGTGTGTGTTGCGCGAATGAATTTTTTTCTCTTTTTTTACATAAGAACATTTCCTTCTTTTCCTTCTTGTGTTCCATGGCGAAGCAGTAAAAATAACTCCTTCTTCCGTCCCCTCCCTTTCCCATAAAAAACAGGCCCCGCTCGGCGCGCCTGAAACCCTCTCTCTTTCTCTCCGCCTCCACCTGCGCTCTTTTTAAGGTGAATCCAGGAAAGTCCGCCAACTCCTTCCCCCCTCCCTCCCCGCCTCCTCTAGGGAGGGCGGTCTCGGGTAGGCGAGTGCGTCTCCGAGTTCCCCATGGCAACAGCGGCGGCGGGGAGCAGGCGTGGCGCCGACCGCGTGACGTCTGTGCAAGGCTACGTCGCTGCGCCGCGTACGGAGGGGGGGGTGACGCAAAACGCGCGCGCAGGCAGGGGGGAGGGGCCGTCAGCTTCTTTCCCTTTTTTTCTGTTTCTTTTTTTCTTTTCTTCCTCCTCCCCCTTCTCCTCCCTCCCCTCTCTCTTTTCTTTAAACATTTATTTTATTTCTTCCCCTCTCCCAACTTCCCTTCTTTTTCTTTTCTCCCTCCTTCCCTCCCCACACGGGCGGCGGCGGCCTTACCTGCTCCTCACGAGTCCCCTGGCCAGCATTGACTCCAGGCCTTAGCCAGCCGGCCGGCCGGCCTGCTTGCCTGCCTTCTTCTTCCTTCCTCCCCCCTCCCGCTCCGCTCCGCTCCCTCTTTGCCTGCCTCAGTTCCTTCTTTCCGCAGAGCTAGTGTCACGATTTTCTGCCTCCTCCTTCTCTCCGACCCCCTTT